CTACCCCCATTTTCTTTTCATCTCTACACTTAACGTTTTCAATATTTGAAATGAAAAGAATTTTTTTTTTACAATTGCTTTTGAAAAACAATTTTGTGTTCTAATCGATATTCTAATCTGATAAAATTGTTTTTCCTATGCTTATATAAGTGTTTCTTTCTATCTATTTAGAATCTGTATTCTATAGTAGACAGGCTCTTTATTTGTTAAACTTTTGTATGTAATAGCTTAGGTGAGAAGCTATTAAGATAGAGGTTATCAAGCGACATTCTCCATGTGTGGGATAGTAATGTCTTGAATTGAGTTTTCTGTACTCTACCAAAAATAGAAAGGGTTGAGGTTTAACTAGAAACCTTTTGGAAAATCTTAGTGGCGACAATAAGGTAGATTCTAGGTGTTGATCTAAGTGCCTTGTATGTTGGCGTTTGTCTCTTAACCCTTTAAAAGAGTATAACATAGTTGAGGATCTCAAGATGATGTCCTTGGGGAGTGGATGTAGCGAGTTAGTGCTGAACCCACTACTAAATCACTGTGTTCATCTTTATTTCTGAAGTTTGCTTTGATATTACCTTTTATTACACCCTCTGTTTTAATTTTCAGAAACACTAAAATTTGTTTAATGATTCAGATGTTTCTAAAACGGTAATAAGTCCTTATCTCTTCTGAACAATTAGAACTCTGGAATTCTAATAAGTGGGATATACCATGTTCTAACTGTTTGTTCTTATTCACAGTATATTTCAGCTGATTGGGGTTTCTAATTAATTTTTCTAAACTTTATGAGGAAAGTTCTAATCTGATAGCTTCCATCATAAAATCGTTCTGAATTTGATTTAAGGCTCTGTGAAGAAGGTTCTGATTTAATTAACTGTCTTTCACATAGCTTTATATGATTTTTTTTTCAAACTTTACTGAGGAAGTTTAATTTTCAATAACTTTTCCTTTCATAAAAGAAGCTCTGATATTGAATAAGTCAAGTTCGTGAAGCCTGTTTCAAATTTCAATAGCTGCACTTTGCCACAGACTTTCTATCTTTTTTATAATTTAGAAACATTGTTGAGTGATTCTTAATCCATATCTCTTCTCACAAAGTTTCTTATTGTGTTTTCCGCTGCACTTTAGAATTCTATATTTTGTTTTAGAATTTCTAAAAAAATTTTGGTATCAGTTTATTAGAAAACCCAATTCACCCCCCCAAACCTCCGCTTGGGTTTTTGCCATACACATACGGGACCCCACAGTCACTTTTTTTCAAAATAAAATTGAAAACGGTCCCATTGCGAAATAATGGGTTGGCAACTCAAAAACTGTTTATAAGAACCGATTTATCGGCAATGTATCCAATAAAAATGTTTTATCACCACTTTTCATATAAGATTACCGATTTATCGGCATCGTATCCAATAAAATGTTTTATCACCACTTTTCATAATAAGATTACTTTTCACATCAAAATAAAATAAACAACATAAAAATAAATAGATAAGAAGGGATGTTTTCGAGTTCGCTCAGGGGCGGCGGTACGAAAACAAGGAGCACAAGTGGTCCCCTGTAAAGTTGAGGGGCACAAATGGCAATTTAAGGATAGTTCAAAGGGGAAATTATGCATTTAGCCAATGGAAAATGCTCCAATTCATGAAACCAAGGAGGATTCAAGACTAGGTTTATATTTGAAATAACTTTTGATTTGACCTTAATTAGAACTTGATTCATGAAAAAAATTTGAATGTAGAATATAAGATGCATGCCAATTATATTATTCACAACAATAAACAGTAAGTGAAGAGTATAAAATAAATATTTCAAAAATAATTAGGGAGTACCATTTTTGTCCCCTTTTAGAAATTCTAGGATGATCACACATTTTCCAAAGCAATAAAAGAATAAAGAATTGGAAAAGGAGAGTTTTGGTTAATATTTTTTGCAACTCGAATCACTCGAATCAATTTTGCCTGCATTTCCTTTGAATGAGAATCAGAACCATGTAGCTCTACCCATTGTGAAATGAGGGATTGATTTTAGCCTTCCTTTATCATGTTTTGGAAGTCACTTTTACCAAGTTATGATGTCTAAGAAGGAGAATAGATTAATTGATTATTTTATCTCTTATCATGAATGATGTCTAAGAAGAAATAGGAAAAAGGTGAATTTAAAGAGATTATGGCATTCGGAGGTCCATAAGTTGGCTCTTTGGACCAAATCAACCAAACCATCCTTTTCCTTTTTCATCTTCTTTTCATTATTTTCTATATTATTATTGTTGTTATTATGAGATGTTCGATTAGGGGTGAGCATTCGATTCGGCCAAATCGATCAATTCGATTAATTCGGTCAGTTCACCCTATTCGATTCGGTTAAAAACTTTCAATTAATAGGCTCATTAAAAAAATTATAATTTCGGTTATCGGTTAAAAGTTTGATTAACCATTAATCAAACCGGGTAAATCAAATTAACCAGCATCCAAAATGATGTCATTTTTGGGAAACAAAGAGTAAAACCTAAAAAAAAATTGCTCTCTCCTTTCACTCCCATTTCCCATAATCGAACCCTAAACTCTCCCTTAATCTCTCAACCACTGCTCCCTCTCTCCTTGGACTAAGACTGCTTGCTCCCTTCAGCCTCTCTCTTAATCCGCAAATGATCAATTTCTTATTTCCCTTTTCTTTCTTATGACATTGTGAGGAGAAGGATAAGCTATGATTTCATAGCTCCATCTCCGATCACCTCCGCTCATCTCCAGCAAACGTAGTGCACCAACCACCAACTAGGCTTCAAACCACTTCTTTTCCCTTCTTGATTGTCTTTCCTCAATTAATTTTCACTTTCATCAAGTAGTTCATGAAATTTCGTTGTTAGGTTTTGTACAATTTTTATATGTTATGGTTGAATCATTTTTCAATTGTATAAAAAAGAAATGATGTAAGGAAAAACAAGAGATCAAATACTCATGCATGATATGTAAAGGGAGTGGGTCGAATACCTACCTTTTGTAGTGCAGCGATGAACAACCTCTAGCCTCGCGTTACAAGTTTGCTGACCATAGGAGCAATCACGATCAAACAAACTGCTCCTGTTGTCCACAGTCTAAAAGCCCTACTATCTCTTGTAGGCTCCTGTTGTCCACAGTCTAAAAGCCCTACTATCTCTTGTAGCAATAAGAGAGTAGTCAGATTTTTTTTCTAGAGTGTATTCTTTTTGTTTCTGCTTTTGCGTCTATGTAAAAGAGAACGCGTTCTCTTTTTTCTTTAAATTTAGTTGGATTACCATATGTTGAAGGAATCCAACTAAAACACAAACTCTTTAAAATAATAATCGACTAAGATATTTAAACTTATTTAAATACTCATAATAATTAGACATATATTATTATCACGTATTATTAATGGATCCGGGTTAAAAAGGCTAGTCATTGGCATATCCATATTCGTCTATTAATTCCAACATCTCCCGCTCGCACATGACGAGACTTGACCCGCACATAGCTGGACATTCATAATTAGCAAATAGACTGTGCAACCAGCATACTTCGAGAGTTCTCTGCTATACACTTGTTAGAGATATATAGCATCTCAGAAAAAAAAAAAACTCTTCAGAGTAGAAAAGTATGCAATACCCCAAATTATTTGTCACATTTATTATTAGCATTGATCTCATAACATATTTGACTTTCACACTTATGTTTACTTATAAACATAATTGGGCGACCTGTGAACACGAAAACTCAAATGTGACTGTAAAATAATCTTCCCTTCAAATGAATTCTCTTGATCATAATTCAACCGTTTTTCCAGAAATGCCCATTCAATCGCATCAATCATGATTTTTTAACAACACTCTAAGGTAGCAATCACTGAATTATAACTCAAGAATCAGTCGAAATTCATAAGGGTAGTGGTTTAAAGAACTATTATTCTCATAGAGTCTCACATAACCAACATTTGACATCACTTACCTTGGCAACTCATTTGGTCGTCATATTGCACACATGGTATGACGCACATGTCATGGTGTTATTATCTCTCCTTCCACACGGAGTGCATGTCTACTAAAACATAGATTTAGTTTTCAACACTATGCAGATGATAGTTCAAACATACTTAATGTCTAACTTAAGTTCACTAGTTTACTCAATATACCTAAGAACTCACATTTGACGACTAAGATAGATTTCAATATATTTACAAATAATTAATCCATCATAACATCATCATGTTATACAGATCTCATTTCTCAAAAATGAGTTGACTTATTTGTTTTAAGCACAAACTCTTCTGATTATTCACATAGATAAACAAAGATGATTACCCATGTGAGAAGGTCAATCACGTATCTATCTAACATGCTTTTAATGAATCAAAACAGTCAATGTATAAAGAATATTCACACTCATGTATGTATAAAACAATCAACAGTCTGACATTTGCTTTTAATTGAATTCAAACAATTAGTAAATGTATAATTATCACATAGATAAACAAAGATGATTACCGATGTGGGAGGTCAATCATGTATGTGTCTGACATGCTTTTAATGAATCAAAAATAGTAAATGTATAAAGAACATTCACACTCATGTATGTATAAAAAAATCAACACGTCTTATCATTAATAAACCAGGTGACAATGTCATAAAGCTAAAAAGATATTTAACATCTATGCAGTCCTTGAGATTTTGTATATCCTCTGAATAAATCTCTAGGCACAGGTTTGATCAATTGATCTATCACCATTTCACATGAAGATATGTATTTCATATTCACCTCTTTTTGTGTAATCATGTCTCTCACAAAATTGTAATTTATGTCAATATGCTTGGTCTTACAATGAAATTTTGGATCTTTAGTGCAAGCTATTGCTGCTTGACTTTCACAGTTGATTACAATTGTTTCACTAATAGCACCAACACACAAATGTTTCAAAAATCTCTTCAACAAGACTGCTTGTACTGCAGCCGAAAATGCTACGAATTCAGCTTTCATTATGGACAATTCTATACATGATTATTTCTTGTTACTCCAAGATATAGCTCCATTGTTAAGCAAGAGAACAAAACCAAAAGTGGATTTTCTTTCATCCGTATCTTTTGCCCAATCGACATCTGTATAGCCTCTCAATTGTAAATTACCACATTGATAACACGATGAGTAGTCCGCAATACCTTTAAGATATCTCAATATCCTTTTAATTGCTATCCAATGTGCTGGACTTGGATTGGATTGATATCTGCTTACCATCCCCACGGCAAAACAAATATCAGGTCTTGTACACATCATTGCATACATCAAACTTCCAACTGCATTTGCATAAGGAACCTGGTTCATTTTATCTTGTTCTTCTAGAGTCTTGGGGCATAATCTTCGACTCAGGTTATCACCTTTGGCAATATGAGTATCTATTGGTTTACAGTCACACATATTGAATCATATGAGGACCTTCAAAACGTATGCCTCTTGTAAAAGAGACAACAATTTCCTCGAACAATCCCGTGAAATCTTAACTCAAAGGATATACATAGCTTAACCCGTGTCCTTCATTTCAAAGTTAGACGACGTCCAAGCTTTGACATGAGTTAGATAATATAGGTCATTCCCAGCTATTAATATGTCATTAACATATAATGACATGATGATAAATTTTCCATTTGATCTTTTTGTGTAAACACGATTATCTTCGTCAATCATAGAAAAACCATTCGACATAGATTGACCTCATCAATCTACAAACCTTGTGTTCTTGGCCTTCTCTGATGAAACCTATTGTTTGAACCATATAGATTTTATCATCTAATTCCCCACTGAGAAAAAGCAGTCTTTACATCCATTTGATGTAATTCTATATCAAGGTTTGCCACAATTGCCAAAATTAACCTTATGGAAGTGAACCTCACGACATGAGAAAAAGTTTCTTCATAGTCAATTCCTTCCTGTTGGGTATACCCCTTTGCAACGAGACGGGCCTTATACCTCTCGATGCTGCCATCAGCTTTATGCTTGATTTTGAGAACCCACTTGTTCCCAATAGCTTTACACCCTTGGGGAAGATCTACTAGTTGCCAAACCTTGTTCGAGATCATAGACTCCATTTCCTCTTCCATTGCTTTCATCCATTTATCCTTGGTTAGACATGAGAATGCCTTCTTGACACTCTTTGGTTCCTCATCATCTTGTGGGGTAATCATGAAAACTTCATTAATGCCTTCGAACTCAAAACGTCGGCGAGGAATGTTTCCATGATTACTATGTCTTAATTGTGGTTCTTGAGGAACATTTTCATCAAGATCCACAAGACTCCAGCTCAAACTAGGATCCACTAATGTTCCAGTAGGACTTGGATCTGTACTCCCACTTGAACCAGGATCACTCTCATTTGAATTTGTTAGTAGATACGGATTATCCACCAATATCCTCCCACTCGAAGGAAGTGATCCATTAGAGTCCTGATCTAAGGTCTTAAAAAGAGAAAGAGTACAACGTAATTCATTCTACTTAGGAAAATCATTCTCTAAGAACGTGGCATCTCATGATTCAAATTCAGTTATACCTCCATTTTCATGCTCACCTATGAAAACATATCCTTTTGATTGTTCAGAATATCTCATGAAGATACTCTTTTTACCTCTCAGGCCTAATTTCCATATTTATACATCTCGAGCCTAATTTGCCATATTTATGATAAGTATCATGAAATAGGCAGCGCATCCCCAAGGTTTGAGGATGCTTAAGTCTGGTATTCTACCTGTCCATAACTCATATGGTATGAAAGTGACTGATTTTGTGGGTACACAGTTGAGCACATAGGTGGTTGTTAACAAAGCATCACCCCAAAAAGCGATAGGCAAATTTGCTTAAGCTACCATTGATCTAATCATTTCAAGAAGCGTTCGATTTCTTCTTTTCGCTACGCTATTTTGTTGCGTGTTCTTAGAATATTCAACTGATGTTTTATTCCTTTTTCATTATATAATTGTATGAACTGATCAGATAAATATTCCTCACCACAGTCAGTTCTCAATGCTTTGATTTTCTTGTCTAATTGATTCTCAACCAAGTTGATATAATTCTTAAAGAATTGTAACGCTTCAAATTTATGTGAAATCAGGTAGACAAAACCAAAACATGTATAATCATCTATAAAAGTGATGAAATAATAGGCTTCATGTCGTGCCTCACATTCATTGGACCACAAATGTTAGAATGAACTAATTGCAATGGTATACTGGCTCTAGTTCCTTTACCGAATGGTTTTCTTGCTATTTTTTCTACTAGACAATGTTCACAGATAGACAAATCTACCTTACTAATATTAACTAAAAGACCTACTTTTGCTAAACAATCCATTCTTTGTTGACCAATATGGCAAAGTCTAGCGTGCGAGATATTCACATCATTGTCATTTTCTGAATTTATAAAAAGGGAAAAACTAACAACGGTATTCGTACTTTGAACAATATCCAAAATAAGAAAATTATCCATAATATAACTAGAACCATAAAATGATGTTCCCAGCCCAAAACATACTTAATTATTATGGAAATGTCCACTAAACCCTAGTCTAAGCAAAACAATAAATGAAATCAAATTTCGTCGAATCTCTAGAGTATACAAGACATCATGCAGGAGTAGGGTATGACCACCTCGCAAAACTAATTTGCATGTGCCAATTCCCTTCACTTCAATGCGCGCATTGTTTCCTACATAGATCCATCTTATCCTAGCGGGTACACGACGAAAATCCATAAAGGCATCTCGATCCCTCGTCACATGGTCTGTTGCTCCTGAATCTACAATCCATAAAGGATGGTACTCTATTAGAAAACAGAACTAGCAACAGAAATTTCACTCACACATTAGTAAATAGGCTGTACCTTCTTAGGCACAGTGCAATCCTTAGCATAGTGGCCCTTATTGACACAATTGAAACATTTGACCCTCACAATGTTTTTCTTCTTAGAATGCTTATTCTTTTTAGTTATATTTTGTTTAGTCCTCTTAACCCTTTGAACTTGTTTTTCCTTACCTTTTGGATTGAATCATTTACGCTTCTGACTTGTAGTCCCATATCGACCAGATCCAACCACATATGCCACTGCACTTGATTGCATAGCATTAAGTCGATTACCTTCAAGTTCTAAATGTCGTGAAGCATCATTAAAGGTGTTTATGATCTCATTATGTGTTAGGTGCATCCTCATATGCTCCCAACTTTCAGGCAAAGAATGGATAATGGTTGGATTTTTTGTTCCTCAGTCAGTACATGACCAGCATCATCCTCATATGCTCCCAACTTTCAGGCAAAGAATGGATAATGGTTGGATTTTTTGTTCCTCAGTCAGTACATGACCAGCATCATGTAACTCACTTATCATGTTGGACATTTCTCTTAAATGCCTCTTTATTGTATGTTCAGGACACTTTCTTGTAAGTGTCGAACTTAATAGTGAGTGACCGAAGTTTTGTGACGGACACACCGCCAAACTTATTCCTTTAAGCCTCCCACAAGTCCCTAGCAAGTTGGAAACTTTTGAATTCCTTCATAATGTCATCATCCATTGCACTTAGCATTGTCATACGTGCTAAGGAATTCTTTCTTTTCCAAGCTACATAAGCATTTCTTTTCCAAGCTACATAAGCATCATAGTTCCACCTACGCTGAGTCGTGTTGCCTTCTTTAGGTTGTTCCATAGTTTCATTCAAAGTTTCAAAAGCCTCTTGCTCTTTCAGTACATATTGGATTTTGACACTCCATATCTGATAGTTATCACCATTCAACTTGGTTCCTTTATTAAGTTCAACAATTATACTCTTTGTAGCAGATGCCATTTGAATAGACACAAAATTTATTTGTGTTGACATTATATAGACGCTCTTATTAATGTTTTATAGATGCATGAAAGAATATTATTTTCACACTCAATTGCACATACTAATAATAACTTACATCGTACTTAGAGTCAAAAGGTTTCTCTATTTCCAATCATCATCAATATAACATGAGACAATATCAGTATTGCAAATGTAGCAAAAATAATAATTAATGAGTAAATAGCAATTATCCTAACCATGTTCCATTGCAAACCATAGATAGAATAATGCTAATTTCATTGTTCCAAGGAAATATGATAAAGTCATTCACGAAGAATCAATAACTAAAAAACATGGCTAATAACAAATCTTGGCATATCAAGATTACCCCAAACAACAAGAGATTAGAGAAATTTTCTCCTAATAGGAATAGACTCATCTAAAATTCTCGAAAGGTCGCTTGGCAATTTCTTTAATTGTGGGGCCTATGTCCTCGAACTTATAGCAGCCTTCCTACGAAGCCCCACACTAGGGCATGTGGTCATTCTTATAACCTCCATCCTGCAGATTCTAGTCATGAAATTTCGTCATGAAATTTTGAATAAATACAGAATATGACCATTTGCCATTTCTGTCTTTAAGTCGCCTCCCCATATAATTTCTTGACAGGCTTCGTGGACCCGTACGATATGGGGTATCAAAATTTCTAGGTCATGAGGATTAGAAACTTGGTCTTAATTGAATCTTATACACTTCCCTTTCCATTTCGGCTAAAAGCTGTTTTTGCCAAGAGTCCTTGCCACCTTTGGGGTCTTATACATTCCCACCATAATTTTGTATAACACATTATAGAAAATTATCAAATATATTATATACATATGCATAATCATTGATTTAACAAAAATATAAAACACTCCTAATATAGGCAATAGATGTACCCAAAAAAAATTTATAAATTTTTTTTAATATGTGGTCTAAAATATTTTTTTATCTTTTTAAATAAATCAATTTAAAAAATAAAAGTAGGCTTTTATTAACAATTTCCTATAATTCCCAAATAAGGATCAAAAAGAGAAAAAGAATATATTTTTTACACCTTCAAAAAAAAATTTATTAGCCATAGCCAATTAAGAGCAGCCTCGTAGCCTAGGAAAAAAATAAAAAGAGAGTTCCTTAGAGTTTGATTCCATTAACTAGACAATCTACTTGGGGTTTTTGGAGTCCTAATTTGATTAGTTAGCAATTTTCGATTTAAACAAATTTAATTCAATTTCTAAACATAATTAGAAATTAACAAACAAAAAATAAATACTACCATTAAAAAAAATTTTAACAGTATATATAAACACATTATATAATTAAAGGAGTTAAGTGGCATTATCACAGTTAATCAAAATTCTGCCTAATAATAGAATAGAAAATAAATAAATAATACTGATTAATGGTACATCTATAAATAAACAGAGAATCTGCCTTAATGGCAAGTTCGTAAATATGACAAAGAGACACAAAATCTAAATCTCTTTTTCCTACCCTACTGCCGCTAGTCTTAACCCCAAAAAATTTTTTATTTATATATTAAATTTAATTAATAAATAATATAAAAAAAAAAAGAAAACTAAGTAAGGCAACCAGTACTAATCATCGCATTCTTTTTCGGATATATATTAATTACACAAAAAAATAAAAGAAACATAAAAAGGCAACAACCTGACTTTTCAAGTCGCTGACATACAACGCAATAGCTTTATGAATGCTTGGCTGCATGCTAGCAAATCAAAAAAAGGCCTATTTTATTTTTTTAAAAAATAAACAAAAAAAGAGAAGTAACAATCTGACTTTGTGGTTGTCGGCCGTGTACCAGCAAACCAAAAAAAAAAAAATCTAGAATCTATATA